CTGTGCCTCTTTGTCCTCTCAGATAACCCAGAAACCCTGTGTGAGCAGGCTAAGAAAGGATCTCAGAAGGGCCTTGAGTAATGAATGTGTTTCTCTTTCTGACTGGATCTGCCAGCTGTCAGACCCTGCTGAACACCCCCCCCCAAACCTCAAATACATTCCTAAATATTGGTTCATGAAGAAGGTCCACTCAACCACATACTAGCTGCTAGGTATCAGGCCCTGCTGAGCAATCGAGTCCCCACACCTCGTATGTCTACCAAGGCATGGACCTTGAATGACACTCACTTAACCCCACTAAGTGGCTAGTTACCGGGCCATGGCCAATGATCTGCCAGTCTACCCTAAACACACTGCTATTATTTGGTACCCACAGAAAACCATCCTACCACACAAGTGATGTTCTCCAGTGTTAATTACCAGACCCTGTGATTCCTCATGACATCAACTCATATAAATTTTAGGATATCAAACCTTGGTATCCAAACACTCAGGCCATGATAACTCCTACAATGGTAGCTGAAGGCCCTTGAAACACACACATCACCCTAGGCAGCCTCACATATATTTCTAGGTATACATCCCTAGTGGTACCCGTGGATATCAGACCAACCACTGCCAATCCAGTATATTAACAGGCCTGGATGGACACTAATTCTCCCCATCAGTATGGGGTGCTGCAGGACACCCCCCTTCTACTGATCCTCATGGAAACACATTCTTATTCTTCATGTCTCTTGGACACCCTACCACCACAATGTCAAAGACACAGGGCAAGGTTTCAGATCCTGCTAGGTAAACCCTACCTGACAGCCACATTCTTCTTATACACTGGATATCAGGTCTCCCTACGAATCCCCCACCTTCAGTTAACTCCATCCAATGGGGATTACATGTTAGCTCCTGCCAGGGAATCCCTTAAGAATAGTCAAATACCCTACATTTAAACAGATACACATAGGACTATGTATCATGTTCTTTGATTCCCTCCGTTAACATCAAAGTCCCCGGATGTACAGTTAGTGCCAGTGTGTGCTAGGTATACCTCCTAATAGAGTCTCAGGTACATGACTATGTGTCAGGTCCTTCTCTGAAACACCTCCGCTAGAGGAAAACTTCAAATACACATGCATGGCAAGGTGTCCTATCATGCTAAGAGTCTCCTCCCCTATAGCCAGTTACACCCATATACATAAGGATGGTGTAAGCTTGCAGGCACCTACCTTATATGTTAACCCTACTCTCTTTCTCTTTCTCTCTCTGTCTCTCTCTCTGTCACACACACACATACACACACACACGCACACACACACAAAGAGAGAGAGAGAGATTTAGAGAGAAGGAGAAAGGAGAGGTGAGAGAAAAGTAAGGGGAAGAGAGTGAGAGAGACAGAGATAGAAACAAAACTAGGGCTCATGTCCTACATGGTATCCGCACACTTACCTCAAAAGCCCCACCCACATACATGCATAGGTTTCTGGTCCTGATAGTAATGCTGGCGTCTACAGTCAAGGACACAACACAGGGTGGGTGTCATGTCATGCCAGCTGTTCCTTCTGTCACAGCCTCTGCTCTGCCTGCACATGCTAGATGTGCACTAACTTAAAACCAAAATTCAGAGAGACAGACACACAAACAGACATACATGCACACATGTGTGCTTGGCTATGTAGCATGTTGTCCCTCCTGTTCTCTCAGGTACAGATGAAGCCTCACCAATCCACTCATAGCTATAACTCAAGTCCTTCTAGTCCCTCCAGTCAAATCCACACACTCAGCTTTTCATGTAGGCTTTCCACATATCCACTCCTCCACAGCCAAATCCCCATACACACACACACACACACACACACACACACACACACACACGCACGCACCATTATGTCTAAGAGTCTTTGCTAGAAAACTCTCCCTTGGAGTGGCACACCTTGGTATGCCCCCTACAGTCAATGGCTTCCGTACATGCCTAGGTCTTGTGTCCACCTCATTTATTCCTCCTGTAAAGCAAATCTCCAAACATGCATGTAACGCTAGGAGTCACATCATGCTAGGTGTCTCTGCCCCTACATCCATTGTCACAGATACACATAGGTTGTGATGGCTGTTCCTGACCTTGTATTCAAAACCAACTCTCTCTACCTTCTTTCATTCTTTTCTTCTCCTCCCCCACTCTCTCTCTCTCACGCTAGGACCCTGGTATCTTGTTAATTCTGTACCATATACCCAAAGGCAAACACCTCTTACACATAAAGCCCTGCTAGGTGACACACACCCTCTAGCCAAACCATCTCATACATAAACAACCAAATGTCTGGTTCTTCTAGACATTGCCTCCCCACGGCAAAGGCCCTAATGCACACACAGGGCTATGTTTCAACTCCTGCTGATTATGATCTTCCCTACAGCCAAATCTACACATGGAAGGATAGATGTCACTTCCTGTTGGCCTCCCTTCCTTCCCCGCTGCTCTTTGTTCCTCTATGTTTTATTCTCACCTTAGAAGTTTGGGAGACAGAACACCAGATGGCGAAATTTCCTGCCATAAGTCTCTCAGCATCTAGGACCTGTCTCTTGAGATCTTTCCCACAGACATCCATTTACACAGAAAGATGTCTTTAAAACACAGAGGGTTAATTGCTGAGCATCTGAAACTGGCTTGGGGTTTTGCAGCTGCTGGCAGGTTACAGGACCCATTTCTTAGTGCTGACTAATATGGGAGATCTAGGCCCACTGTGGGTGTCTCCACCCCTGTAAGCTGTCTTGAATTGTGTAAGAAAGCAGACAGACAGCCATGAAGAGTGAACCACTAAACATCTGTCTCCTGCTCTTGAGTGAGTTCCTACCCTCACTTCCCTGATGATGGACTTTGAGCAGGACATGACCGCCAAATAAAACTTTCTCCACCAGTGGGTTGTGCCATGATTTCTATCAGAAATAGATAGTTACTATAGCGGTATATTATTTGTGTTTAATAAACAAAGCTTGCCTGAAGATTAGAGGGCAAAGCACCACACTAGTCAGCCATATAAGCCAGGCAGTGGTGGCTCACACCTTTAGTCCCAGGAGTCAGGAGACAGAAGCAGAAGGACCTGTGTGATGTCAAGACCACCCTGGGCTACACAAGATTGAATGTGTCTAAACGAGAAAGCCAGGTGATGGTGGCGCACGCCTTTAATCCCAGCACTCGGGAGGCAGAGGCAGGCGGATCTCTGTGAGTTCGAGACCAGCCTGGTCTACAGAGCTAGTTCCAGGACAGGCTCCAAAGTCACAGAGAAACCCTGTCTCGAAAAACCAAAAGTAAATTAATTAATTAAATAAATAAATAAAATAGAAAGAGAGAAAGAGATCACACACCCTTAACCGAAACACTAGGGAGGTAGAGACAGAAGCGATATGGATGGGCAGAGAAAGGAATATAAAGGGGAAGAGACAGGAACTCAGTGGAGCGTGGAGTCTGAAGTTGGTGGAGAGCATTGCAGGATCGCCCTTTTGTTCGCCTGACCCTTGGTAGAGGTAAGATCTCTAGTGGCTTAGCCACCTTGTTTCCCTGATCTTCAGTTTGAACCCCAATATCTGTCTCTGGATTTTTATGATTCATGCTACATAGTATACTAGGACAGTATCCAAGGACTTGTTATCAAACCTGGGGTCATCCTGCCTCTACCTCCTGAGTGCTGAGATACACGTATGCACTGTAACACTATGAGAACAAACAGCAGTTTTTCGAGTGGACAGATGCATGGAGAAAACAAATCAAGACCCAGGAAAATACACTTCCATGGGATGAGGCTGGTTTTAATGACATTAATCGGAGAAAGTATCTTAAGCAGATGGATTTTGGAAATCATACTGAATGCAGTAGGAAAAACAACAACAATGAAATAAATGAACCCAAAGTTGTATACAAGCACTTGGGGAGCAATCCTGAGTTTATTTTTTTAACATGTTGAGGCCTTTTCAGAGGATACAAACGGAAGAGCGCATTCATCTGACTTGAGATAGTTAAACAGGGGACATGTGAGCAGCAGCAGTGATTGCAGAACATTAGTTTAGGAGGCTGGCGGAACTGTGCCAACATCAAGGATGGTTCAGCACCTCGATCATAGCCTTAGCGAATATACACACGGCACTGTGTGCAATGTGAGTCATGAGTTCCGAATATACATGAACACATAGGGACCAGCAGACAACCCTTGTAATACGCATAACCTGGCTCATGAGATCAGAGGGTGTGGGACATTCTGAACCCTGCCCCAGCACACATCCTGTCACAATTCCAGAAGGCTGGTTTGTTCGGTAGAAGGGACACCACTCCTAGCTCATCCAGCACCAGTCACCTACCCCATCTACAGTTCAGCCAGCACCATGTGCCTCCACACATGAGCTCGGGAAAAACACAGAGGAGCCAAGCACAACCCAACTAGGAACAGCAAACACCAATCCAAACACTCCCTGAGCACAAAGGTATCAGAAACACTTCACTAACAAACTCAATCCAGGAAAGCAAGCCCTGTTACAAAAAGAGAATTTACATGTGGGGTGGAGAAATGGCTCAGCAGTTGGGAGACTGGCTGTTCTCCTAGAGGACTTGAGTTCAATTCCCAGCACCCACATGGCAGCTCACAACTGTTTGTAACGCCAAGATGTGACATCCTCACATAGACATACATCTACACCAATACACATAAAACAAAAATAAAAAATTAAAAAAGAAATTACATGAAAAACCCAGGACAACATAGGTCCCCCCAAAATGGCCAATCCCGTAGTAGTGGCAAACAGGAAGAGTGACATAAATAAAATTCAAAACACAGTATTCCAAAGAATGATTTTTAATATGTTCAGATAAGTTCACCAATGGGTTTATCAGGGTTCAAATAATTTCCTCAATTAATTCAGAAAACAAAAAAATTAAATCAGTAAGAAAGGCAAGTTAAAAAATAGAACTTAATAGAGAGACATATAAAAAACTATCTTAGAAGGTAAAGAATTAAACAATACTAGAAATCAAAAATTCTTTTTTTTTTCCAAGTGACCAAGCGGTCTCGTCAGTACTTTAATGTTGTGTATGCCAGACTGTAGCGGAGGCAGCTACAGGTGCACTTCTGTGTTCCTGCGCGGCACCCGCATCACAGCAAGCCCAGCTTGTGTTCCACCATCAGGTGTGGCTCACCCATCAGCTCACTCTGTGACGGATCATTAAGAATATCCTCAAAACCAATGGTCTCATCATTGCCCCGCAGAATATCCAGCGACAGGTTTGAGCTTGGAAGGAATGGAAGACGCTGAACCTGCTGCACCGCCTTGAATTCCATCTGTAACTTCAGGGGAGCAAACAGTCCCTGGATGTTCCTCAGGGTGGAAAAGTTCATCTTGTCTTGGTTGAGCTGGAAATTTTTTTCTGATAATTCAAGAGGATGGCTGGGCAGAAGTTCATTTTTCAAACAAGAAAACCCTTTCCGGAGAAGATCGTGACTCTCGAAGGACCTGCTGGCTGAGAGCTCCGTAACTGGAATGCTGTCCTTCAGCTGCGACCCTAGTCCTCTGGCATTCACCTTGGAAATCGCTCGGCACAAACCTCTAAACCCGCTTAGAAATCAAAAATTCTTAAGTCTAACTGAAAGCACATTGGATAGCCACAAAATCAGAAGATGCTGTATGCAAAACTGGGCTACAAGACAAGGGAAATTTAATCAACAAATACAAGGTCTATGATAATTTAATTAATTCTTTTATTATGAAAGAAACATGTGAATTCTTTGGGAAACCAGGAAAATTATGCAACTATGAATTATGGAAATAGAAGAATGAGAAGAATCCTTCCTGTGAAAATATGCAAAATACATTAAGTAAAAATCATAGAAGAAAATTTCCACACACAGGGGTGTAGTAAGGAGGCCACTTGTTTGTCCCAGCAGCCCAGAACGGAAATAATCACACAGAAACTGTATTAATTAAATAACTGTTTGACCTATTAGCTCTAGCTTCTTATTGGCTAACTCTTATGTATTAATTTAACCCATTTCTATTAATTGGTGTATCTCTACGTGTCTGTGGCTTACTGGTTAAAGTTTTGGCATCTGTCTCTGGTGGGGCTACATGGCTTCTCTCGGACTCTGCCTTTTTCCCCCCAGAATTAGTTTTTTTCTGCCTAACTGTGTTCTGCCCTGCTATAGGCTCAAACCAACCTTATTAACCAATGGTATTCACAGCACACAGAGGGAAATCCCATATCACCTCCCCTTTTCTGTTTAAATAAAAAGGAAGGTTTAAACTTTAACATTGTAAAATTAAATATAACAAAACAGGTGTCAAGCAATAATTAGTTACAATATTTATATCTATTTTTTATCATAACTAAAGAATATTATAACTACAGCTATCAATTCTTCAACTCCATCAAAGAGTCCAGAAGCCTGGGGGAGCTGGCACATCTGTCCCATATTCCCTTGCAGCATCTGTTGCATGTGATGCTGCATCCACTGCTTCTGTTGCTGCTGTTGCTGCTGGGATAGGTAGCCAATTCCTTGGGACTGCTGGAACTGGTTGTGGTTGGCCATTCCAGGGCCAATTCCAGGACCTGCTCCCTGCTGTTGCATCACCTGACATCTTAAGATGTCTCGGAACTGTGAAGGCATGGTGTTGTGATTCATGTTCATTTGCTGAGCTTGAGGACTCATTCCTCCAATGGGTGGCTGGGGCTGCTGCTGGGGCAGGCCAGCTCTCTGGACACCTACCTGCATAGGATCCATACTCTGCAGGGCTGGGTTGGAGTGGACACCTTGCTGACCAGGCATGGTAGGTGGCTGCAGTCCTGGCTGTCCCTGAGGCATGCCAGGCTGGCCAGGGAGAGGTTGTGGATTAGAGTTGGCATACTTGGCAGTGCGCTGCTTGATAAATGCAGCCAACAGTTGGGGGCTGGAGTGAAGGATACTAAGCACCTGTTGCTGCTGTAAGGGAGAACTGGGAGACCTGAGAGTCTGCAAAAGGTTTGTAAGGCTTGTTGAGACACAGTGCCTGGTTTGAGAGGGCTCAACCTTCTTTGCCCAATCCTGGCTGTAGAGCCATGTTCAAGGACTGACCATGCTGGGCCACTGACATCATGGCAGGCCTCGGCAGGCCTGACTACAACTGCTATGGCTGAGAAATTCCTCCTTGGGCCCAAGGTGGCTGATGTTGCATTCCCTTAGGACCCACTCCTGGCTGCAAATGCCAACCAGGACCTCCGGCCATAGAAGGCTGGTTTATACCTATAGGGGTCATGCACATCATCTGGGGCATCTGGTGCTGGACTGGTCTTTGGAAAATTTGCACATGAGCCATCTGGCCCTGTGTCTCTGCTGCCCTCTGAGTCTGCATTTCCATTACTACTGGCAGGTGGAGGCCCTGGAAGGGAGGAAGGAGCAGTCTGAGGTGGGGTTGGTTTGGTCACGTGACCTGCTGCCTTACCCTGAGACACATTTTGAGTCCAGGGCAAGTAGGGTGGTATCAGGGCCTTGAGTACCAGCCTCAGGACCCCCTCAGTCTCAGAACAGGATTTCGATGGCAAGCGAAAATCTGAGGCCAAAAAAATTAACTCAGGCAAGTTATTGCTGCATGTTCTTTATTCCTTTGCACGAATAAGCAGTGAGAATCACAAGAATAAGGGGTGATCTCCATGAGGTTTCTAGTTTTTACAGACATAGTTGGATATTTCCATGGGCCAGGAAAACCATAATATGCAAATCAAAATCACAAAAAGTGCAGGTAGAACCTGACAAAGCTTTACTCCAGAACAGGTGACACCACCGGGGAAAGAGCCTGCACCAAGGGGAAGTACCTGAAGTTCCAAACCATTAGGTAAAGTTACTAAATGTCCCTGAACCTGGACTTCACCCAGACCCCTCTGTCTGGTAAGGGCGGGGCAGCTGCCTTCCTGCTCAGTCCCTGTCTTCCTATAGAAATTTCTATGTGGTTTGTTAGCTGGTAATAGTGTGGGGTTGACTCTATATAAATTTGACCATTAGAACAAAGAGTGAACGTTGTTGCTCCAAGGCTTCCTGCTGTGGGGGAACCAAAGGTCAGTCCTTTGCCTGTGTAGAAGTCACACTGCTGAGGTGTTTGGGAGTGAATTCCAATTTGAAGAGGGAAATCATAGCCTCACAGGGCTTCCGCAGATATGACAGCGACTTTTCCAAAAGACAAATGTACCTGCAGATCTGCAAACGGGGTGCCCATAAAGTGTACACTGTGGGTAAGCTTTATGAATCTGTCAGCTGTGTATTTCCTGTAGAGTCTTGTGGGCTCCAACAGGGTGGCATGATGTTGGAAGGCGTGGGCTGACGTTGAGAGGTGGGTTAGGTCTAGGGTGTCTGTGCAGTGGCTGGCTGTTGGTCAGGAGGGCTGATTGGAGTCTCAGGAGTTGGGGACAGCAGACCCAGCTGGTGTCCTGCCACACCAGTCCGTTGCATGCTGGTCATCCTCCTGCGGAGCATCTGAGCCTGCTGGAGCCGGTGCTGCAGCTGTCGCTGCCGGATTTTTTTCTTGATGTTAGAGCAGAATGGCAACGGACATATGTTCTTCTGGCAGCGCTTGGCATGGTAGCAGAGGAGGGCAATAAGCTGTTTGCAGATGGGGCATTCACCATTGGTTTTCCGTTTACAGCCTTTGGTGTGCAGCACGACCCTCTTCATCTTCTGGCAGGAAGGCAGAGAACAGTAGGCATTGCGGCACTGGCACGCATGCACCAGACTCCGTAGGCAGCATTGTGTGCTCAGGAGGCGCGGGGCTTCCCGCGACGGCACGGGCACTTCTGCTTCCTGATTGTTGCTCTCCTCACCCAAGCCAACGCCTAGTTCCTCCATTTTATGGTCACAGGCGTCATAAGCCTGGAGGGGAAAAACAAGATGAGGGGCAACTCTGCAAGACTGAAATAATTCAAAACCATATTATATATTTACTTGGGCTAGAAACCGGCTGTCGTGCCATGGAAAAGACACAGCAAGGTTTTGGAAACTGACACACTTGGTGGCAACCTCTTGCCCTTTGCAGCTGTGTCCACTTCCGGGGGAACCAACAGGCTCTTTTAAGCCCTCCCTAATGAAGATGGTTGTGTCTAAACTGGCAGACAGGCACATGAACTCCCACGCGTGGAGTAAAAGTCAGCTTATATTTCCCTTTATTTCCCTCGTGGAATCGACAGGCTGCACAATCCCTAAAGCACAGGACCTTGCAACCAAGAAGACAAAAGAAGAGGTGTCGCAGTTTCGAGCCCCGTTTCCTTGCCCCTGGATGGGGAGGCGTTTCCTTCCTACCTTCTTCCACGGACCGCGCCCACAGCTAAACAGGAGCAAAAACGAGCCGGGGTGGTCTCTGGTCGGGACTAAGATCCTTACCTCAGTTTACCAACCCTGCACCTCTCCGCCCCAAAGGGTCGCTAAAACGACGCGTCCGCGCAGTGAGGCCTTCGGGGTTCCCTTTCCCGGCGGGGCTGAGATCTTTCCCACTTACCTCAGGGCCTGGAGATATCCCCATGATGCAAAAATCAAAATCAATTTCCTCGCGGTCACAGTTTGCATGAAGTCATATAGCCCTAGCCTCTCACTGAGAGTGTGCTCATTGGCTACCGCGCCTGAACTCGGACCAATCAAACCGTAGGAAATAGACTAAACTGGTTCCTTGTTTCCCCCGCGCCCCGCCTCCAATATGGAGGGGTTGGGTATCCCGGGTCCTTATGGGAGTTGTAGTTACTCTGCCGTGCACGAGAAGGGGCATGGCATTAGCGAAGTATAGAACTCCTGGAGGTGCTGCTCTCATCGTCCTCTGTATGCCAACTTTACTTTTTTATAACATTTTTTGTTTGTTTTTGGCTGACCTCAGACTCGCAGAGATTCGCCTGTCTCTGCCTCCCAAGTGCTGGGATTAAAGGTGTGAACCACCGCTGCCGTGCAAATAAAAGTTTAATATTATTTATATTTAAAGTACATTAGGTTGTTGTTATTATTATTATTATTATTATTGTTATTATTATAATATCTGTCTGCATGGATGCCTGTACTCCAGGATAGGCCACTAGATCTTATTATAGATGGTTGGGAGCCACGATGTGGTAGCTGGGAATTGAACTCACGACCTTTGGAGAAGGAAACAATGCTCATAACTGCCATCTCCAGCCATGGATGCCAACGTTAAACCCTTCCTTGCACCTAGGATGGACACGTCCATGTTCCATACAAAATTGTCCCAGCACCCTCCATGGTAGGAAGCAGAGGAGTTTAACTGGGAAGCCGAGAAGAAATGCCCAGGCCCTCTTTAAAAGCAAACAGAAACTGGAGTCCTCTTAATACCTACGAATGCTATAAATGCTCTGCTCCCTCAGAATTCTCAAAGCCAGGCCTGGTGAGTGGGTTCAGCATTTAAAGGAGCGTGACACACGAACCCATCTACCTGTGAGCCCGCGTGACACACGAACCCATCTACCTGTGAGCCCGCGACACAACGATGGAAGGAGAGAACCATCTCCACGAAGTCGTGCTGACCCTCCACGTGCAACCGCACACACATCAAACAAACACACGCACGCTGAATAAATAAATGTAAGAAAAAAAAGCTAAGGACTGGAGAAATGGTTCAGCGCTTAGTGGGTGTTTTTCAGGGTTCAATTACCAGCATGCACGTGGCAACTCACACGTCAGTAACTCCAAGTGTAGTGGTTCCTATTCTCTCTTCTGACCTTGGAGGACGACAGGCAAACAGGGTGCACTCAATCGCACGCGCGCGCATACACACACACACACACACACACACACACACACGCACACACACACGCACACATACATGCATGCACGCACACACACACAGCAAAACACATATGCATAAAGAATAAATTCTACTGATATATGTTCTAGCCCGCTCAGGCTAGGGCAGATGACTCAGGGATGGCAGCTAAAGCAGGGGACCCGAGTTCCATCCCTGCACATGATGGACTATGCCTGTAACCCCAGCACCGGGTAAGCAGGGACAGGAGGATCCCTATGTCTTGCTGGCCAGACAGCATAGCTACAGGGAGAGGCAAGAGATTGAAGAAGATACCTGCAGTCAAGTTCTATCCATTCCAAGTACACTCATCGAGTCCCCACAACTTCCTACTACATCCTGCGTTTTCTGGGATTATTGCACAGCCCCACAAACATCTGAAATCCAGTCTGCATCTTACTTCTCCCAGAATATCTCAGCAGAATTCATTAATCTCTCCATTCCTTCAGGTTTCTGGTCCTAGTGAAATGTTTCCCCACATGAAGACAAGGGAGTTCCTTGCCCTCCCTCATCTACCTCTGCTCCCTGTGGTTGTGTTTGCCACCTTCATTTATTCCGGACTCTGCCCATCAGAAAAGACACAGTCACACTGTGTGCAGCTCTGGTTACTGTGTTTCTGAAGGGGCCTCACTGTAGGGAGATTATCAGAACTCTACTTCTCTCCTGACAGGAAAGTGACAGGCAGCTGGAGGAAAATGGGCATTGCTTTGGAATGTTGGAACTTTGTTCTGCTTTGGAAGTGAGTTGGGCTTACCTAGACTAGGACACAGGGGCCAGAGGTAGGGCATGTGTTCTTACACCTACTTTATATGTCCCACTGGTAATAGTGATTTGGCCTAGACAGCCTTGATAACCCTAGAGCTAAAACTTTCAGCTCAGCTGTCAGCTTGGTTGTCCGGCTGGGGTAATTGTCTAAAGTGTTGTCAGGAGCACCTGACAGGCAGATCATTGCTTCGTGTAGTGAAGGAAGGCCACTCTGATGGGGTTAAAGGCCAAGGCTCATCTGCGGGCAGCTCATGGCTGAAGGCATCACTGAGACCACTACATACCAGCCTGTGGTAGTTGAGATGTGTTTAGTTTCTGGTCTAAAGTTGACTCTGCCTTATAGGTTAGGAACCATAAAGCTGGCCAGGCAGGCTTCCCTCAATCCCAAGGGAAAGTGGTCATTGAGCTTGTGTTACAGAGGACGAGAAAGAGAATGAGAAACAACACCCAAGCCATGGCTTCAGAGGGATGTTGAGAAAACTTGGTGTAGGTAGCACATCTCTCTCCTCTGATCTTAACATCACTGGGGAGAGATAGTTTGAAACAAAGAAGGTGAACATCTCCTCACACAAGGGGATTATAATAACCACAGCACAAGATATAGATGGCATTCACTCTGTCACTCCTCAGTGACTTAGTCTATGTTGGGCTCCACAGCCAGGGGCATAATGAAGTTGAGCTATAGGGGTCATGTGCATCATCTGGGGCATATGGTGCTGGACTGGTCTTTGGAAAATTTGCACATGAGCCATCTGGCCCTGTGTCTCTGCTGCCCTCTGAGTCTGCATTTCCATTACTACTGGCAGGTGGAGGCCCTGGAAGGGAGGAAGGAGCAGTCTGAGGTGGGGTTGGTTTGGTCACGTGACCTGCTGCCTTACCCTGAGACACATTTTGAGTCCAGGGCAAGTAGGGTGGTATCAGGGCCTTGAGTACCAGCCTCAGGACTCCCTCAGTCTCAGAACAGGATTTCTATGGCAAGCGAAAATCTGAGGCCAAAAAAATTAACTCAGGCAAGTTATTGCTGCATGTTCTTTATTCCTTTGCACGAATAAGCAGTGAGAATCACAAGAATAAGGGGTGATCTCCATGAGGTTTCTAGTTTTTACAGACATAGTTGGATATTTCCATGGGCCAGGAAAACCATAATATGCAAATCAAAATCACAAAAAGTGCAGGTAGAACCTGACAAAGCTTTACTCCAGAACAGGTGACACCACCCGGGAAAGAGCCTGCACCAAGGGGAAGTACCTGAAGTTCCAAACCATTAGGTAAAGTTACTAAATGTCCCTGAACCTGGACTTCACCCAGACCCCTCTGTCTAGTAAGGGCGGGGCCAGCTGCCTTCCTGCTCAGTCCCTTTCTTACTATAGAAATTTCTATGTGGTTTGTTAGCTGGTAATAGTGTGGGGTTGCCTCTATATAAATTTGACCATTATAACAAAGAGTGAACGTTGTTGCTCTAAGGCTTCCTGCTGTGGGGGAACCAAAGGTCAGTCCTTTGCCTGTGTAGAAGTCACACTGCTGAGGTTTTTGGGAGTGAATTCCAATTTGAAGAGGAAAATCATAGCCTCACAGGGCTTCCGCAGATATGACAGCGACTTTTCCAAAAGACAAATGTACCTGCAGATCTGCAAACGGGGTGCCCATAAAGTGTACACTGTGGGTATGCTTTATGAATCTGTCAGCTGTGTATTTCCTGTAGAGTCTTGTGGGCTCTAACAGAGTGGCATGATGTTGGAAGGAGTGGGCTGACCTTGAGATGTGGGTTAGGTCTAGGGTGTGCATGGAATGGCTGGCTGTTGGTCAGAAGCACTGAGTGCAGTCTCAGGAGTTGGGGATAGCAGACCCAGCTGGTGTCCTGCCACACCTGTCCGTTGCATGCTGGCCATCCTCCTGCAGTGCATCTGAGCCTGCTGGAGCCGGTGCTGCAGCTGTTGGGAGGTTTTGCTTGATGTTGATGCAGAATGCCAACGAACAGTTGTTCTCCTGGCAGTGCTTGACATGGTAGCGGCAGAGGGTAATAAACTGTCTGCAGATGGAGCATCCACGATTGGTTTTCCGTTTACAGCCTTTGATGTGCTTCACGACCCACTTTATCTTCCGGCAGGGAAGCAGATGACATCTGGCATTGGAGCACTGGCAGGCATGTATCAGAAACTGTATGCAGTTGCTTAGGATGCACAAGCGCTGAGAGGTTTCTTCAAATGTCCGCGCCACTCTCTCTATACGTGAGACGGGCAAGGGCCTGGAGATTGAAAGAACACACAAGAGACCTGGGTCATTCCAAAGGAGATCAACATAAAGGTGTTTAGTCAAGATTAGGACAGTCCTTATATACCTAACTGCTGCACAAGGAATTCCCCCCAGGCAGGTGGGAAATTGCCACACCCAAGATGGAGTAAACTATGCCCTATAGCTGATCACCAGGCGGGGCAGAGGGAACACAGAAACAAACAGGATGTTTAAACTGGCTGGCCAGAAACTGCCCTCAATCTGAAACCTGAGAGCAGGGGTAGACCCATGGGCCCTACAGGTCCCCCCTTCTAGGCCTGTTTTAGGTGGCATTGGATGTCAGGCAATACTCCTTACCCGTGATGGGAAAGCGTCCAGGTCAAAACACATTTCCTGTCTTAGGTTGGGGCAGCCCCCCAAATACCTTACCCTTTATTGACTCACTAGTCACCCATCACCGAGTTCAGCCAGATTTGCACTGAAAGATCCTCAGGGCAATAGCTAAGAGGACTCACCAAGTGGTGACATTGATCTGAGCTTCTTTGGCTCTGGCACCATGAAAACATGAAGATAATGCTCCAGCACAGATAAGCACTCCTTAAGCCTGCTCAATCCTTAATAAGTCTGCCACAAATTAAAGCCCTTTAAGTAAGGTCTCAGCGCTGGTGGGAGGAACCCTGGTAGAGCTAACTAGAATAATCTCAAAAGCCAATTTGTAAATTGTGCACTCTGGGGTTCATGAATAACAGCAAGAAGCCTATAACTGTATAACCTAGCTGTGGTCTTTAACCAAAACCAATTTGAGTGGCCAAGGCATTTGCAACCTGTCCTATAAGGTACCCATTGTGCTAGCAGAAACAACTGACTGACAAATGGAAAATCCAGCAGCCATAGCCGCCATAATCATGGGATGGGTTGATAGGTAGAGGAACAATCCTTGGCACTTGGACCACCACAGCCAGCTGCTCAGGATCCCAGCAACTCTTCAGTTGACAAGCCAGTGTCTATTTGATCTCTTGGCTCTGTCCTGTCTTCAGGCTTCTGGACTTGAAAATCCACAACACGCACCAGACGCTCAGGTGCCCATACTCATCTGTCAGCATCCTGTGGGAAAACACAAATAGCCCCTCTTCCCCACACCAGTACGGGATCTGGACCACACCAAGTGCCATCTGCTAGATTCTTCCATTTGACATGAGGCATCCCGGAAGAAACTGGCCGCCAATGCCAGTCAGCAGCAGTACAAGATTGAGCATCAACAGTCAAAAAATTATAATGTATAAAATAAAAGATAAATGGTCTCTGGGGGTGCAACCATATTCCCCCCTTTTTGTTTTATGCAAACAGACTTTGAGCATACGATGTGCTCGCTCCACTATAGCTTGTCCTTGAGGATTATAAGGTATTCCTGTTTTATGAGAATCAGCGAACTCAGAGCAAAATTTAGCAAAGCCAATGCTGGTGTAGGCTGGCCCATTGTCAGTTTTTACAGTTTTTGGAACTCACATGTAGGCAAAAGCCTGGAGACAGTGACTTCTAACATCCCGTAATTTTTCTCCTGTATGGGCCGAGGCAAAAATAAGATGAGAATACAGTTATGTGAATATATTGTATACGCCCAAAAGAAGGAACATGGGTAACATCCATTCGCCATAAATGATTAGGAGCAAGCCCACAAGGATTAACTCCCAAAAGGGGAACAGCTAAAAGTTCTGTACACAGAGAGCATTTTTTTTTAAACAATATCAGTGGCCTGCTCTCAAGATATCTTAAAATGAACTCTTAGAGACCCAGCATTGAGATGAAAGCTTTTATGAGCTTTTTCTGCAGCTTTGTAAGATTTTTGACTAACTGCACAAATTTGGCGAGTAAGCTCATCAGCCAATGCATTCCCCTCGCTCAAGGGACCAGGAAGGTCAGTATGAGTCCGCAAATGCCCTACGTAAGTGGGAACAGATAACGCCCAAAGCAAAGTTTGAATAGCCAATAACTGCATCTGGACTTATGATACAGAGGCAATATAAGTTGCAGTTTCCAAAGGTACAAGAATTTTGCTTATATATTGACTGTCAGTAAAACGGTTAAATGGAATATCAGCATATTTCTCTAGGGCCATTTGTATAGCAACCAGTTCAGCCACTTGAGCAGATTTAGCATTAAAAGGCTGAATATCAGGGCTGGAGAGATGGCTCAGAGGTTAAGAGCATTGCCTGCTTTTCCAAAGGTCCTGAGTTCAATTCCCAGCAACCACATGGTGGCTCACAGCCATCTGTAATGGGGTCTGGTGCTCTCTTCTGGCCTGCAGGCACACACACAGGCAGAATATTGTATACATTCCATGCCTCTGCCAGTGGTTGCAAAGAAATAACTTTAGGGAAGCATACCAGATGATTTTTTGAAAAAAGTGACTGTAATGGTTGTTCTGTCTCTTTAAGAGACAAGCCACGCCCACTCCCTCCCCCTTCCACGGAGGCAGGCTGATCTTCAGCTTCCGGCCTGAGCTTGCTCTCTTTTCCATCTTCCTCTCAGAGAGGCAGCTTTGCTTCTGCCTCTCTCCCCACTTCTCTGCTTCCCCCCTCTGTCTCTTTCTCCTCTTCTCTCTCTGCCCCCTTCCCCCTTCCATAACCCCTGAATAAATATTCAACCTCATTCTGCATGTCGTGCCTATCCATGTCTCTGTCTCCTGCCCGCCTCCATGTGTCTCCCTATCTGGGACCAGCTGCTCCCAGAGCCCACTGCCTGCTGCCACATGGCCCACCACCACCATTTGGGCCACCACTCTGGGACCGGCAGCCATCTCTGCCTGGGACTGGCTGCTCCCAGGGCCTGCTGTCTGCTGCTACAAGGCCCGCTACCACCATTTGGGACCTACAGCATTTCTGCTGCCTACTGCCGCTGGGGATCTTGCACCATTTTTTAAAAAATTATAAAAGTGACCAACTTATCAAAAGGATAATGATTGTCAAACCTGCATAGATTAGTACATAAAAACAAGGTCCAATTTTCAGCAAAATTTTGCAGCCAAGTTATTTCTGCCTGGGTCTGTGGTGTAATATAACCTTATCAGGTAACATTAGAATAGGCTGACCTTGAACTCACAGAGAACTGCCCAATTAAAGGCTTGCAACACCTGGCTTTCCCTAGGGCTGATTCACCTTCCCTTTACCGCAGGGCAATTACTACAGGGTAAAACAAATCCTTGATCTAGCTCCACCTTGACTCTGCCTTAGGGCAGAAACAATTACCTGACCTGCTTATTTCTATGGGGGCATATAGCCTCTTGACATCATTTTCATAGGCCAATTACTTTATGACAGGCATCGCTAGGTCCACATCCCCAAAAATGTGACTTCCCAGCTGTAACAGGTGGTCAATAAACTCAGAATAAGGTCCTTGAAGGACCTTAGACAGTTGTTCCCCGGCTCCTTTGTTAGGTAAAGTTTTCCAAGCTTTAATAGCCACAGCAGCTATCTGAGCATAGTCAGCAGGATCGTAAGCGATCTGTGCAGTTTTTGATCCTACTGCACGTACTGGCTTTGTGGGAGCCTAGGCAGTTTGAATGCTCACCTTACGAGACCTGGATAGAGGTGGGCAGTCCTTGGGCTTCCCACAGGTCAGGGAACCCTGATTGCTCTTCGAGCAGATGAGGGAGGGGGACTTGATCGGGGGAGGGGGAGGGAAATGGGAAGCGGTTGTGGGGACGAGGCAGAAATCCTTAATAAATAAATAAATTTAAAAAAAAAAAAGCCCAAGTACTGTCCTGCACCAGTTAACATGTCAAGGTTCTGCTGGGGGAAACCTGCAGTGGCGTTAAGCAGTGCAGTATTTTTGCAATTTTTCTGCATTTCACCTCTCCATAACAAACAATCTCCCCCCGAAAGATAAGCCCTGCAAAGCTGCATCCAGTCACTGGATGTAAGGCTGAGTTCTGCAAAGGATTCCATTAAAGCCATGGTAAAGGGGGCATGAGTTTTAGAGGCCTTAACCGCTTCTTTTAGTTGCTTAATGTCCTTAAAGGCCAGAGGGTTATGCTGCCTGATCCTCTGTCCTTGCGGATCAGTAACTTCCACAACAGGATAAATTTCCTTTCTCTACTTAGATTATTTAGTCCATTTTGGATCTCTCAGATTTCCGCCTCTAAATCTATAGGGGCGGGAGCAGCAGCACAAGGATTTGAAGTGGCAAGGAATGGATTTTGCGGTGGAGGTCTCAGGGAGACATCTTTGTTCCCTTCCTTTCTTCTTTTTCTAACTTCTTTTTTATCAGTGCAATCTCCTTTTCTAAAATCTCTTCTTCCTCTTCTATATCCCTTTTAGTACTCTTAACTTCCCCCTCCTCCAAGCTCTTAATAGAACTCACAGATTCTACATCCTGAATCTCCTCAAAGGTCTTGTTCAAATTCTCTAATTGCTCTTTAACTTTTACATCATCACTGAGAAGAGCATCTCTGACTAAGTGTCATAGTGAAAATGTTGCTATGGGGAATTCTTCCGGCCTTGCTTTTTCAATGATTTTTGAAGGTCAGCCTTTGCCTGTTCCCAATCAGTAATATTAAAGCCCCCTGCTTGTAGAAACCAGGGACTAAACTCTCTCAAAAAATTAGGCAATCAACTACCTTACACAAAAGAAAACTGTCTTAAAGAACTCTATCTATTTTAATACCAGTGCCTCCCTTGCTGCCTTGCTTCTTTATAAGAACTAACAATTTGCCCTTTCAATGGCCGTCAATACTGGAACAGAATTACTTGCACCCATTTCCAATTCACCCTCACCAATCAATTTCTTACCTGCTGGCCAGCCTCCAAGGGTAATCTCTCAGGGGTCCCCTACTTCCCCATCTCGCTGATGGGCTTTTGTAGTGCACCATGCCCACCTGTGCTCCATGAGCTACCATAAAGTTCATGAACCGGGCAAGGGCCTGGGGATTGAAAGAACACACAGGAGACCTGGGTCATTCCAAAGGAGAACAGTCGAATGCCGTTTATTCGAACGTTAGACAATCCTTACAGACCTAGCTGCTGCACAAGGAATTCCTCCAAGGCAGGTGGAAAATTGCCACACCCAAGATGGAGTAAACAATGTCCTATAGCTAATTGCCAGGTGGGGCAGAGGGAAGCACAGGAACAAACAGGACGTTTAAGCCGGCTGGCCAGAAACTGCCCTCAACATGAAACCCGAGAGCAGGGGTAGACCCATGGGCCCTACAGTTCCTGGGCACGTGTGGATGCTTCCACTTGCTGGTTGTTGCTCTCCTCATCCAAGCCAAAGCCTAGTTCCTCCATTTTGTGGTCATGGTGTTTAGTGTTAGAACAAGTGCTACGTGGTCCGTGTGTCATAAGCCTGGAGGGGAAAACCAAGACGCAGGGCAATTCTGCAAGACTGAATAATTCAAAACCATTTTATGTATTTTACTTGGGCTAGAAACCGGCTGCCGTGCCATGGGAACGACACAGCATGGTTTTGGAAACTGACACACTTGGTGGCAACCTCTTGCCCTTTGCAGCTGTGTCCACTTCCGGGGGAACCAACAGGCTCTTTTAAGCCCTCCCTAATAGAGATGGTTGTGCCTAAACTGGCAGACAGGCACATAAACGCCCAAGCGTGGAGTAAACGTCAACTTATATTTTTCTTTACTTCCCGGGTGGAAGCGACAGGCCGCACAATTCCTAAAGCACGGGACCACGAAACCAAGAAGTCAAAGAGGTAGTGTCGCAGTTTCGAGCCCCGTTTCCTTGCCCCTGGATGGGGAGGCGTTTCCTTCCTACCTTCTTCCACGGACCGAGCCCACCGCTTAACAGGAAGCAAAAACGAACCGGGGTGGTCTCTGGTCGGGACTAAGATTCTTACCTTAGTTTACCAACTCTGCAACTCTCCGCCCCCAAAGGGTCGCTAAAACGACGCGTCCGCCCAGTGAGGCCTTCGGGGTTCCCTTTCCCGGGGGCGGGGGGGGGGGGGGCTGAGCCCTTTTCCACTTACCTCAGGGCCCGGAGATTTCCCCATGATGCCAAAATCAATTTCCTCACTGTCACAGGTAGCAGGAAGCCCTATAACCCTAGCCTCTCACTGAGAGTGTGCTCATTGGCTACCGCCCCTGAGCACGGACCAATCACACCGTAGGAAATAGAATAAACTGGTTTCTTGTCTCTCCCCCCCCCCCCCCCATATGGAGGGGTTGGGTATCCCGGGCACTTATGGGAATTGTAGTTACCTCTGCCGTGCACGAGAAGGGGCATGGCATTAGCGAAGTATAGAACTCCTGGAGGTGCTGCTCTCGTCGTCCTCTGTATGCCTTTACATTTTTATTACTTTTTTTGTTTGTTTTTGGCTGACCTCAGACTCGCAGAGATTCACCTGTCTCTGCCTCCCAAGTGCTGGGATTAAAGGTGTGAACCACCGCTGCCGTGCGAATAAAAGTTTAATATTTATATTTAATGTATATTAAGTTGTTGTTGCTATTATATTATTATTATTGTTGTTGTTGTTGTTATATACAGTGTTCTGTCTGCATGGATGCCTGTACTCCGGGAGAGGCCACTAGATCTCATTATAGATGGTTGGGAGCCACAATGTGGTAGCTGGGAATTGAACTCACGACCTTTGAAAAAGGAAACAATGCTCATAACTGCCATCTCCAGCCATGGATGCCAACTTTAAACCATTCCTAGCACCTAGCATGGACACGTCCATGTGCCACACAAAATTGTCCCAGCACCCTCCGTGGTAGGAAGCAGAGGTGTTCTACTGGGATGCCGAGAAGAAATGCCCAGGCCCTCTTTAAAACCAAGCAGAAAACTGGAATCCTCTTGATACCTACGAATGCTATAAATGCTCTGCTCCCTCAGAATTCTCAAAGCCAGGCCTGGTGAGTGGGTTCAGCATTTAAAAGAGCGTGACATACGAACCTATCTACCTGTGAGCCCGCGTGACACACGAACCCATCTACCTGTGAGCCCGCGACACAACGATGGAAGGAGAGAACCATCTCCACGAAGTCGTGCTGACCCTCCACGTGCAACCCGCACACACATCAAACAAACACACGCACGCCGAATAAATAAATATAAGAAAAAAGCTAAGGACTGGAGAAATAGTTCAGTGCTTTGTGACTGTTTTTCAGGGTTCAATTACCAGCACGCATATGGCAACTCACCCGTCAGTAACTCCAGGTGTGGTGGTTCCTATTCTCTCTTCTGACCTTGGAGGATGACAGGCAAACACGGTGCACTCAATCACATGCGCGTGTACACACACACACACACACACACACACACACACACACAGCAAAACACATATGCATAAAGAACAAATTCTACTGATATATGTTCTAGCCCTCTCAGGCTAGGACAGATGACTCAGGGATGGCAGCTAAAGCAGGGGACCCGAGTTCCATCCCTGTACATGATGGACTATGCCTGTAACCCCAGCACAGGGTAAGCAGGGACAGGAGGATCCCTATGTCTTGCTGGCCAGACAGCATAGCTACAGGGAGTGGCAAGAGATCGAGGAAGACACCTGCAGTCAAGTTCTATCCATTCCGAGTACACACATGGAGTCCCCACAACTTCCTTCTCCATCCTGCGTTTTCTGGGATTATCGCACAGCCCCCAAACATCTGAAATCCAGAGAAATCCAGTCTGCATTTTACTTCTCCAGATCCCAACTCCCATCTCCTACCCCTTGTTGTTGCCCTTTATCTTTAAATTTCTATCTACTTATTTATATGTATTAGAGTTTTGCTTTCATGCATGTCTGCGTACCATGTAAGTGCCCACTGTCAGCAGAGGCCAGAAGAGGGTGCGGGATATTACAGAATTGGAGTTACAGTTGTGAGGTGCTGGGAAGAGAACCTGGTCCTCTGGAAGAGCAGCAGTGACCTTAACTACTGAGCCAAACTCTAGTTCATTGCTTTTTGTTTTGTTGTTGTTGCTATTGTTTTGAGTTTTACTTTTCTGTGAAAAGGTCTCACTATGCTGTACTGGAATTCACTATGTGCCCAGGCTGGCATTGATCTCAAAGAGATCTACCTGCCTCTACCTTCACATGAGTGCTGGAATTAAAGTTAGGCATCACCAGTCCTGGCTTTGTTATGGTTTTTAAGAAGCCTTTGAGTTCAATTAGTGCTGCCCTCGAATTCCTCAGTGTAGAGCCATTCATTTGAGTGTGCTTGGCCTCCCTTAACAGAACTGACTCCCGTAACATCTGTCTGCTGTCTGTAGTGCCTCAGGTAGAGCTAGGAGTTCATGAACTCCTTACCTAGAATGTGGATTGTCTTGATCTAGTGCAGATCATACAGAGGCAGCCAGAGCTACGTAGATTTATGAGTGCAGTGGTCCTGGCATATCCTCAAGACATCATTTACCTCTAGTTGCTTAAAAATTTACTCGCCTGGAGGTAGCCGGGCACACCCCTAATCCCAGCACTGGGGGCAGAGGCAGGTGGATCTTTGGGTTGGAGGCCAGGGTAGATTACAGAGCGAGTTCCAGGACAGCCAGGGCTACACAGAGAAACCCTCTTGAAAAAGAAAAACAAAACCAAAAAATTTGTCAACTCCTCTTCCATGAGGGTCCCTGAGACCCAGGGGCAGAAGCTGTGCACTGTCCCATTTGTGGTGGAGCCTTCCACTGACCTTCATTCTCTGCAATGTGACCACTTGTGAGCTTCTGCAAACAGGATTGGATTTTAGTGAGGGTTTTTGTTTTTCTGTCTGTCTGTTTGTTTATCAGGGTGTTGTTTCAGACACATTTTGTACCCCTGGTTGGCCTGGAAGTTTGTTTTGTTTGAGACAGTGGTTCTCAGTGAACATGGAGATCACAAATTGGTGAGACTCTTTGGCCAACCAGTCCCAGGGGTTGCCTGTCACCATCTCCCAAGCACTGGGTCGCAGGGGTGTGCTGTAGGACACATTTACAAGCCTGCAGAGAATCCATCTCAGATTCTTGTGTTTACATGGAAAGGGTTGTATTTACTGAGCCATCATACTAACACTGAATCTTCACCTTTAATCCACACAAATGATTTTTTTCCCTTTTGCTTCTTGGGCAAGAATATAGAGCCTCAGACATGCTAGGAAAATGTTCCAACTTTGAGTTACATTTGAAACCTTACAGAAGTGACACGATCATTTTCCTGCCTCAGATTCCTAGCGGCCAGGCTGGAGAGACAGCTCAGTGGTTGAAAATACTGGAGATTCTGGCAGAGAAACAAAATTTGTTTTGCAGCATCCATGTAGAATTGATCACAACCACCCAAAACTGATCCCAAACCTCTGGACTTGGCAGGCGCGCGCGCGCGCGCACGCACACACACACACACACACACACACACACACACTATACTTGAATGAATTTAAAACAAAATCAACCAGGGCTAGACAGATGTCTCAATGCTGAAGAGCACTGCCCACTCTTCCAGATAAACCCAGGTTCAATTCCCAACACCCACATGGCAGCTCATAGCTCTCTGTAAGTCCAGTTGTCGGGGGGTCTGATGCCAATGCATATAAAACAAAATAAAAGTTAAATAAACTTTTTAAAAGAAACCTCCTAGGGCGGGAGTGATGGCTCAGCAGTTAAAAGCACTAGCCGCTCTTACAGAAGATCAGACAGAGTTCAGTTCCTAACACACACAAGGTGTCACACAGCTGTCTGTAACTCTACACAACAGTCTCTAGCCCAGACAGACATACAGACAAAACATCCATACACATAAAATAATTATAAATTTAAAGGTAAAGGCCAGGTTCTGGGGGTGCACACCTTCAATTCCAGCAGTCGGGAGGCAGAGACAAGCAGATCTCTGTGAGTTCCAGGATAGTATGGTCTATAGAGTTCCAGGACAGCGAGGGCTATATAGAGGAGCCCTGTCTGGAAAAACAAAATAAAACAAAACAAGAACAAAAACAAAACAGAAAAATGCCCCCCCAAATAAAAACAATAACAACAAAAACATCCCAAACAACTTAAAGTAAAAAAAAAAAAAATCCAGACTGTCGAAATGGCTCTGATGTGTAGAACAGTAGAACATGACTACCCTTCCAGAAGTCCTGAGTTCAATTCCCAGCACCTACATGGTGGCTCTAACCATCTGCTGTAGTGAGATTTGGCTCCCTCTTATGGTGCACACCTTTAAACCTAACACAGGGGAGGCAGAGGTAGGCAGATCTTTGTGAGTTTGAGGCCAGCCTTGTCTACAACGTGAGTTTCAAGACAGCCTGGCTTAGAGAAAGAAACCCTGTCTCAAAAAAACTAAATAGTAAATGAATAAATAGGTAGGTAGATAGATATGTCTTTAAAAACGTTAAAAAATATTTTAAAAAGTAAAAAAATTCTTCTAGTAGTTTCTCTTTGGATTTCATATAAATTCCTCAAGACTGAGTGACTTGGCCTGTGTTCTTTCCAGTGTTTATGCCTCAGCTAGACCCGTCTCCTCTCTTCTCTCCTCTGACTTGTGAAGTGAGAAGCAGAGCTTCATCCCGGATGGCAAACTGTTTTCACAGAGCATCATGTTCTTGAATTCAGGTCCCTCTCAGCCGGGCACAGCGTAAACACCTGTAGTCCTAGCACAGTGTACACACTTATAGTCCTGTACTGTAGAGAGAGAGGCAGGAGGATGAGCGGTTCTAGTTTACCCTCTGCTATGCAATGAGTTTCAGATAGCCTGGGTTACATAAGATAGAGTCTCAAAAATGAGATAGAGATCACTGTCTGGCTGCTGTGTGAAGACCAAACTGAAGGTGGGTCAAGAGCAACAGCAGGAGGGATAAGTAGAAAAGTGTTGTAATGATTCAGATAAAAGATGACGGGAATGGAGAGGTGGCTCAGTGGTTCAGAGCACTGGCTGATCTTCCAGAGGACCCAGTACCCCATGGCAGCGCACAACTGTGTGTAGCTCCAGTTCCAGGGGATCTGACACCCTCACAGACATACAGGCAGTCACAACATCAATGCATAAACAAACAAACAAACAGAATGTTTAGCTCGGCTGTGCTGCTGGACACCTTTAATCTCAGCACTTGGGAGGACGAGGCATGTAGATCTCTGTGAGTTTGAGCCCATCTGGTCTGCAGAGTGATTTCCAGGACAGCCAAGCTGT